TAAGCACTGTCCGGCACTTGGCCGGAAAGATCACATGATTTTGCACTGTCCCTATGCACTGTCCGTAGACTTCCCGTAAATAATAATTTTCTGTGATCACGTGAGCGTGAATTTTTGAATGCCACGTGATCCCGCACTGTCCTTCCGTAGACTTCCAGTGCCGAGGATCATAGATCATGTGATTATCGATGATGTAACGAACAGACTTCATTTTAAATTGCACACTATAAGATCTTTATTTCGTGTCCTCTATATGAGGTGATAGAGTCGTCGTTTGTAATTATTATTGCATTACTCTATTTTTTCTTGCCTGTCTAGACCGTTTCACTGGCTGAATTACTTGCTTGGCTTTACTTTGGCATATGTAGGTTTGATGGGTTTTTTTACAATTAATAATAATGTTAGTTTGAAAAAAATTATAATACTTATTTGATTTTGATTTAATCAGGTTTTCTTTAAAATAATATTATCCTATTTCCAACTTCAACATATAATAAAGACAACACAATGTAATATAATTGATCTTTAAAAGGAATTATATAGAAGTTTTATTTGACAGCAAATAGACTTTTTTATTGCACGCGGCATTTAGTACATCCTTTTCTAATTCTCTCGGTCTATATATCTGAACATTTTATTAATGTAGCAAGTTTCACTCTAATTATTTTAATTAAAGAAATCAACCATACAAAAACATTAAGTTTCTCTTTAATTATTTTAATTAAAGAAATAAATCATACAGAAACATTTAGTCACAAAGAACATTCAAGTGTGCAGAAACGCTTGACTCTTCCCAATTGTTCTAATTTTAAATGCCATTATTATTTTAATCACTGCAAGACCGATCAACCGACATGTGGATCATATTTACGCGTGGCTGGGTATGATCGACGTAACCCATCGGCACTGGTCCGGCAGAATCACATGATTATGCACTGTCCCTAAGCACTGTTCGTAGAATTCCCGCCAGAAAATTGAAACAGAATCACGTGATTATCGAGTTATGACTTCCGGCACCATTATTCCTGGTTCAACTTATCGAGGTTTGATTTATTTCTTTATGAGTCAATAAATAACAATCATCCCATTTTTTCACAATGTCTAATTCTGAACCAACTGCTAATGCCACCGCTTCACCCTCACCCTCAAGTGAAGCTTTAATAACTTCCTCACAAGCTAATACAAAGACGGCAAAAAGACCTATTCCACATTTCAACATTTCCTTTCCCTATGCAGCACAACCAGATATCATTAGAGCAAATCAAAAAGATGTGTACTATCAAAGGGTACTCGAGGAGCAAATAACAAATATATTTCGACAATTTTTCGGGACAAGAAGGCAACATCAGTATCAAAAAGAAGTGGTATTAATCTCTGATTCATTCTATTACTGCCTGACAACATTATTGGGAACGCAGACCTTGGGCGAGGAATATTGCGATATCTTGCAAATATCCGAGTCGACCGGCAAGTTTCCAATTGTTCAAAAACGTGCATGGCTCATATTTTGGCACGTGATACTTCCGTACTTATATAATCGAGGTACCGTGGAACTTCGTAGACTCACGAAACCTACATGGCGTGAAATGGCAGACGAGAAAATTGGCAAGACTAGTAATCGTACTACACTTCGTAAATTTGTTCATAAATTGTTACCGAAAATACAGCAATTTTTTACCACTCATGTGCACACCTTCCACTTAGCAATTTTCTACTTTTTTGGGGCTTATTATGGGTTTTCGAAACGTATTACCGGGATTCGATATATTTTTACACGACAATTGGCTCTGCATGAACGGCGGATCGGATATGAAGTACTTGGATTTTTGCTTGTAATTCAACTCTTGATCCAATCTTATCAATATCAAAAAGTCCTTGTAAATACTGAAGAGGGCGAGAAGAGAGAAGAAGACGAAGAAATGGATGACGAAGATACTGAAGCAGATTTTTCATTTACTTCAGCAATGGGTTTGTCACCCGAAGAGATTCAAGCGCGAAAATGTACGCTTTGTCTCTCTCCTCGGACAAATACAACAGCCACGGGATGCGGACATTTATTTTGTTGGTCATGCATCACAGAGTGGTGTCAGAATAAGCCTGAATGTCCATTGTGTCGACAGCAAGTTAATCTCGCACATCTTCTTCCTATTTACAATTATTGAAGAAAATATTATGTATGGACAATTATTTATTTATATTAATCCAATTTTTGAATCTTTGATAGAACTTTGTTAAAAATAGTTCTTGATTAGTATGTAAATGATATATCTCAATTCGTTTCCGTAGTATGTTATCTGAGTTTATAATTGAAATTGCTAAAGCATGTTTCCATTTGCAATACTTTAGTTTATAAAATTAATTATATATATATATATAATGTTAAACGTTCGATCCAGTTCGATCCGATCCAAGGATCTCTGATCCCAGGTGGGACTTGGATCTGAGTTCCGAATTTTGAGAAATCATCCTGTATGTGGGAATCATCCCGTGATAGTCATCCCATGTAGTACTATACAGAGTAATCACAGCATTTTAATAAAGCGCTCGAATGATTCAAATGATCCGCCAGCAATATATACAATTCTGGTATCACCAGACGAGATCATAACATAGCAGGATATCGTGATTTTAATTATTTCCACTCGTTTTTAAATTAATCTCGATAGCGAAAACACTTGAGATGAATATATACTTATTTATAAGGACTATTCAAAGCTAGAAGCTAATTTTGGTAATACATGTAATATGTATATTAATTCACATGACATATACCATATTAGTACAATTGTAATAAATGCAAGTTCATAATATCAAGATACCGTTTTAAGGATATGTATAATCACATGACTAGAACAGATCATTGGAGTTCCTTCTCTAATTAATGCATCATTGAATCTTTACACTAGTTATTACTAAGTTTAACAATTATAAAATATAGTTATTTAATTGAAAATGTTAAAATCATTAGGAATGGTATGATAATACATATATTAATAATTTGGATCTTAATAGATAAATTATAAAATTAAATAATATCATTTTATCCCACGTTTACTAATTGCTCGCTCATGATATTTCTGATGATATTTTTCAATCAGTAGTTTATCACAGCGATTGAAAAATATCACACATCATCCGTGAAGATATCATCAGAAATATCATGAGTGTTAGTCTCCGTGAGATAAATCAGATATCACACGGATCATCATCAATATCATGGATCCGCTGTGATATTGATATCTATTATATAATGAATAATATTATTATTTGTGAAAGTAAAAAGATGCATACTACATATATTAAATATTTATCATTTTCCAATTTGTTTGGTTTCTATTGACTCACCCCCATATAACCAAGAGAAAGCAATTTTTTCAAGTGTGTGTATGTGGTCAAATTCGTTGTCATAGTTCGACCTTATTATGAAAAAAGAAAAGTTAAGAGTTAGAATATTATAAAGATATGATGATTATTCAGATATATATTATGGATGATGTTCTTTATCAGATAAAAAATTGTTATTCAGCACCTTTTTAAATAAGATGTCCATATGTTTTTCATCATTAACGTTGGAAAATTATTTTTGGAGAGGGAGAAAAAATACTTGCTATTTAATAACTGGATTCAAATATTTCTCAATGATTGCATCAAACTGATCTTTATAAGAAACGTAGGAGTTAAAGACTCGCTTCAAACGGAAAAAGTTGTTCAGTAGCAAAGGATTGATAAATATTTCGACACAATCCAACATCTGGTGTTCGAATGGTCCAACCCAACCACCTGGACTTTAAAGAAAACAGCGTTCATCTGCCTATAAGAAAACGAGTCCAGTCATATTAAAAATCCCTAAATAGTAGACTCATTAATCACTAAATTCTTTACGAGTTGCGACACGCAGTAATAATCCAAGACGAAATCCAAGACTCAAAACTAGAGCATGGTGCGTAAGATAGGATATAAATAATGATCACCTGGACACTTTTGATGATAGATTTCTCCTATTGATGAATTCTATTTGTAGATTTCTAGCTTGCAGATTTCGAGCCCATGCTATTATTTTATGGTAGTAATATCCGATCAATTAGAATCCCAAGATTAAATAAAAACCTTGCGTTTCTATCATCTCTGTCCTAACAACATTAAGAGCGTAAACTTTTCTGTAAATGAGAATTCATATAATCGATTTTCTAGATAATCTGCCCACCACAATTAATCATTCGGAAAGATAGTATAGCAGTCTCCTCAATTTTCTGTTTATACTCTATTCTTAACTTTCTCAGGAGTGTGTGATCTTGTTTATTCGTATATTTTTCCTTTTCAGAACGAATCAAATGTAACAGCAGAGATAACCATCTTGTTCGGACATATAGAACAACGTGTTGCTTTATAGACATTTATGTTAAACGAAGTGTCCTGATAGTCGTAGCACCTTACTTCATAGATTTTCCGATTATAAAATAATAACCAGTGTACAAATCATATGAAACTCGTCGAAAAAATCTTGTCTAAAGACCAAGTCTTGTTGGATGGAAACATGTATTTACCATTACTGGTTAGTTGTGTGAAGTCGATTGGAACATAAGCTCTGCGCAAACCTCCTCTTTTGAATTAAATGAGCCAAACAATAGAGCAAATAAATTACGAAAATCTTGGCAGATTCAGATGTTTAGATTGTGCGAGTGTTGGTAGAACTTGATCGAGAAAAAGTAATATCGTAATCTATCACTGCGTTTCGCGAGTACCGAACTATCTGATAAATGATTTTATGATTGTCGAGAGGTAATTCGAAATCCGGGCGAGAAGGATTGTTTCCCAAGCTTCGATAACTTGGCTTTGTTTGAAGGTGGATTATCACCTTCATTTGTATTGAATGATCTCTAAAAAAAAGTAAATCAAATATTATTATTTTTAAGACATAGTCATATTTCTTGATTACTTACTTCTAATGGGCATACATTATCAGAACAGAAAATGCGTAATAGTATACTTTGTCAAGTGTTGCGAATTTGCTACAGCATTAATGATATTAATAGAGTAAGATAGTTAGAGCCCCGTTTATAGATTTATGATTTTGTATGTAGTGTAAAAGGCGGTTCTCTCATTTGACCGTCTGCTTAAGTGGTTGTTACAACTACTCTTTAATGTCTATCAAAAATATCTATGAAAATTTTGGGTTTGCCGAGTTATTTGCTATTAGTAGTCAAACTACTCGCACTATATCGATATATATTTCTTAATTGAACGATGCGTAGATAATATCACCAATCAACGTTTTGAAATTCAAAGGAATTAAATTATGATAAAGAACACCTTACTTTTCAAACGTACGCGTTATTTATTTATTTTTTTACGTAAAGTCGAACTATATATGGTATACCATTAATGCTAATTTCATTTGCATGTTTTAACTCCATGTTATAATTAGCATTTCAAACAAGTTGTCGACGACATCAAATTATATCACCATCTCGTAATAGTAACAGCAGTCGTCACCAAATCATAAAAATATTTTCTGCTAACTACGCAACAGTACAAAGTTCTCCACCCACTCGTACCTATGGCGGCCTCAAAGACCAAGACCGCATCTTCACCAACCTTTACTCACGCCATGATTTTCGATTAAAAGGCGCCCTTCTGCGCGGTGACTGGTATAAAACCAAAGAGATACTATTGAAAGGTCACGAATGGATCTTGCAAGAGATGAAAACTTCGGGACTGAGAGGACGCGGTGGAGCTGGGTTCCCGACCGGTTTGAAGTGGAGTTTTATGAACAAGCCCCCGGATGGCCGGTAATTAGATATAATTAATAGATTTATAGAGTTTTGACTTTTTTGTGGGATCTTGTATGTACATATTTATTGATAAATTGTTATTGATTAGACCTCGGTACCTTGTAGTTAACGCAGACGAGGGAGAACCAGGTACCTGCAAAGATAGAGAAATTATGCGTGGTGATCCTCATAAACTTGTTGAAGGATGTTTAATAGCTGGTCGAGCAATGAATGCCACTGCAGGTAAATTAATTATTTTATGATTCGATACTGGAGAATTCGTGATTCTGTTTCAATACCATTAATAATTGATTTTTAAAATCCAGCCTATATTTATATTCGAGGTGAATTCTACAGTGAAGCATCGAACATGCAAGAAGCGATCAATGAGGCATATGCTGGTTTGTTATTTTTGCTATATATACAATCCATTAATTATAAATTATGTCCCAACTAAATTCTTGTTAATGCTGTTTATAATAAAAATTAAAGAGGGATTAATTGGAAAAAATGCTTGCGGAACAGGCTACGACTTTGACGTATACTTGCATCGAGGTGCCGGCGCATATATATGTGGCGAAGAAACGGCATTAATCGAATCCCTTGAGGGCAAGCCGGGAAAACCGCGATTAAAGCCTCCGTTTCCGGCTGATGTGGGATTGTTTGGATGTCCGACTACAGTGTCGAATGTGGAAACTGTTGCTGTTGCGCCGACTATATGTCGACGGTAGTTTTCAAGTTTATTTTAATTTGTAACTGTTTGTTATCGGTATTATGTTATACAGGAGTATGCGTTTTAGTTTAACTATTATTTTTATTAAAATAGAGGTGGTTCATGGTTTGCTAGTTTTGGTAGAGAACGAAATGCTGGAACTAAATTATTTTGTATTTCTGGACATGTGAATAATCCGTGTACCGTGGAAGGTATTTATCTGTATTGTATAAATAAAACAGCGTTGAATTTGCTAATTATTTACATCTGTATTCTATCCAAAAAAAATATATTTAACAGACGAGATGAGTATACCACTACGAGACCTAATTGAGCGACATTGTGGTGGAGTACGTGGTGGATGGGATAACCTGCTAGGAATAATTCCCGGTGGTTCATCTGTTCCGGTTCTTCCTAAAGATATTTGTGAGGACGTGTTGTGAGTGCCGAGACTAATAAAATTTTTATTCTCGATACCTGTCGACACAAATTTTATATCCAATAAATTGATTACATTTGTAGAATGGATTTTGACGCGCTCCGAGACGTCCAATCAGGTCTCGGCACAGCCGCCGTAATAGTAATGGACAAGTCCACCGACATAGTAGCCGCCATCGCACGACTATCCGCCTTCTACAAACACGAGAGTTGTGGTCAGTGCACACCGTGTCGTGAAGGCACCACGTGGTTGAATAATATTATGTGGCGATTTGTACAAGGACATGCAACTGCGCGAGAGATTGATCAGCTTCAAGAGTTGTCAAAAGGGATTGAGGGGCATACAATATGTGGTAAGTGTTATTTTTTATTTCGTACTCGAAATTATGGTATTCAATCATTATCAAAATTCTAATTAATAATATTGATAATTTAACAATCCTTTAAGCGTTGGGCGATGCAGCCGCTTGGCCAGTGCAAGGACTAATTCGACACTTTAGACCACAACTTGAAGCTCGTATGCTCGATTTTGCGCGTGAGAATCCTGATGTCGATTTATCCAAATTTTCGATTGCTGCTCCCGGATTGTAATGTTTTGAAATTTATAATGATCAGAATTCAACAAAGTATTTACTTTCGTGATCCACAATAAAAATTTTGCTAATAAAGTGTATTATTATTAATGATAGTCGAATATTTTCAAGAGTAATAATATTTTTTATTGTGTATGGTTAAACCTCGATATAATTAAGAAAAATTTAGTTTATCGAGATGCTATAATCGTTTCTTCGGTACTTCTATGTTATGGCTTGACTGTAATTGTTTATTAGGATTGATAATTAGTTCACAATTTTCCATTATGTATTTGTAGTGGATTCTGCTGGTATTGTTGTCTCAATCTGAACAAGAATTCCATCACGGTCGTGAAAAGCACGCATTGAAGTGATTTTTGGAGCGATCGCAGCATGGTTCTTTTTTGGTAATCAAAAGTAGTAAAAATACAAACTATCCAGATAACAAAAGAAACACGGTTAATCCTTATTCTTACCCATCTCGAGTCAGACTCAGCCAACTCAGCACACCTTTTTACATTGTCTTTGGTCAAAAACCACTTTTCGTGGTTATCAATCAATATACTTTGCCATTCGTAACTTTCGTTCTCGTAGTGTTTTTTCAGCAAGATCACGAGATTTCCCGCAGAAATCGAGTACCGATTTGATCGTGGGACAGTTGGTGGGTGTGAAATTGTGGATGTGAAGTTTAGGTCGGTTATTTTTATGGTGGTCTATCGTCGTCATATTCGTGTCAGTTAAAACAAAGACTTTAATTAAAGACAGGAAGTAAAGAACCTTTTCATCCTCAAAATCAATATGGAGCGAATCCCGATTTATGTTTGCTATGGAAAGTATTAATGTGCAAAAGTTTGGAGTTTGACGGAAATTTATGAGTGGATTTTGTTGATTTGCAGATGAATTGGACATTTTTTGAATGTTAGTTTACGATATAAGTGATATAAGTACACACATGTGTCATACTTAGTCGTTTATAGTATATATATACCGATACTATAAACGACTTAGACTATAATAGTCTCAGGTGTGTTGGTGCATTTTCTGTTTCACGCCACACACATGGACAATTATAGTCTACACATTCTAGTGGTCAAGTGGGTGGCGTGGTTCACATTTTAATTCTTGAATCTAGGTAAGAAAGTTGGCTAGAGGTAAAGATAGTGCAGCAACTGTTGCAACGTGGTGACAAATAAAGTATCACCTAGTTGCAACTAGTTACAGCTTATAAAATTTTGGAGTTACAACGTGTTGCAAATGAACTCCAAAACGATTATATTTAGCCCTTTAGATTTTCCTGCCAATGCTAATATAGTTGTCCAACACGATGAATTGCCTCTCGTGACAAACGAATTGTCGGTAACTCTGCGATTGAATCTTCAGAGTCATAATCCAGGTTGGATTGATATATTTCAGAAAGGTATGCATCGCAAGAGGAATAGTTTTAAGATTGTGTTTAATATTATCTAAACTAATGTTTCTCTATCTCAAAAAATATATATAACATATGCTAGGCGAAGGTTTAGAAATCCGTAGTCCCAGCCTTTGGCTAACACCGAATGTCTCGCAACCAACTCCTAGGTTCTCTACAAATATTGAAGGGAATTCTGGAATTAGTGCAATCGGCGATGGATTTATTCTAAATAAATGGTACCATATAAGCTACACACTTTCAGAACCCCATAAACGCGCGGATTTCTATGTAGACGGAAAATGGGTTGGATTCAAGAGCATTGAACACGTTCAGACACAATACATTGTGTTCAACAAAGAACCGTTGAAAATAGGGCAGAATGCCACGTTTACTGGGAGAATGAGGTATGATTTATTATCGTTGCAATAAAATACATTGGTCAATAAATAATCACTGTTTATTAGCAATTTTCGTTATTATAATTGGCGTTTATCTGATGATGAAATTACGAAAGATTTTGTAAGATAAATTTTGTCATTATCTTTTTTTTCTTTAATCGTTAATGATAACATAATTTTAAATTTTAGATTGCGACATATGACACATACAAATGAGCCATATTGTCACATTTTACTATTGACATCAAATGTGGGAATTGAGCCTTTTTAAATTATTCATATTTAATATAAATAAAATACTTGTGCTCAGCTATTTTTTTGCCGTTTTGAGCAATTGTATAATAATATACCAATATCGAATACATCAAAAAGCATCAATACATACATACATTTGGTCACTAGTTGTTTACAAGCACTTATGACAGAACTTGTGCCGCCTGTTTGAGAGTTCTGAGCCTTTTCGTTTCTTTCTTGATTACTTTTACATATCCGTCACTAGTGTTAATTAAGACAAAACATCGTAAATAAAACTTAAAAATAAAACTCAATAAAAATTAAATAAACTATAATAAAAGAAATTAAGTTAGGAAAGTAACATATATTATATAATTATCAGAAAGAAAAAAAGATCTTAAAAATCTTATTTTTCATGTAACCAAAAATAATTAGCCAATTAATAAAAATCTCATCTGAAGAGAAGAAAAGAGAAATTAGTTCTATAATAACTCAATATTATATAATATATATGTATAAGAATAATCATCAAACTGATGTTATCTAATTAAATAATTTGCTAAAATTAACTTTTGAAATTAAATCTAAAATTATTTTGATTTATTTTATTAGTAACTGAAATTACTTGAATTTACAAACTAAAACAAGTATTTCTAGATGATTTTTAAGTATTCATTAATATAAGCAATATAATAAAACTAAATTGCTTGCTGAAATACTATTTTTTTAAAAATAATTGAGATAACCATCTTTATATATGTTATTTTTCTTAATATTTTAATTATTTATTAATTTTTAAAAGGATTTTATTATCAAAAAAGCTTTTTTTGAATTATTATAGAACTTAACTAACTAATTTTAAGCTAAAATATGCTTTTTATAAATAATTATTAAATGTTAAACTATTGATTAAATTTTAAAATAAAATAAAATAAAATGATTATTTAAAATAATTATTTAAAATAATTACTTGAAATAATTATTATTTATATATATTTAATTAATTATTTAAAAAAATATAATTATTTAATAAGAATTTAATAATAAAATTCAACTTATAATATATATAGTAAAATTTTTTTTATAATTATTCAATTTTTCTTTCTTAAAAGTAATAATTATAAAAAATCTAAGTATACAAATATATAATAGTTAACAAAATTATAAAATTACATATATAATTTTATTAATAAAATATAGTAAAATTAAAATTTTTGTCTTATATAAAAATTATAAGTTATAGTTTAACATATTTTCTAGATTTTTTTTAACAAAGTTATTCTAATTGTAAAGTTATTGCAAAAATTTTTTATAATTAATTTTATATTTTAATTATAAAAAATTTTTGCAATAACTTTATAATTAGAATAACTTTGTTAAAAAAAATCTAGAAAATATATGTTAAACTATAACTTATAATCTTTATTTTGATATAAAAATAAAAAATATTTATTAATAAAAATAAAAACTTTATATAAAACAAAAATTTTAATTTTTACTATGTTTTATTAATAAAATTATATACATGATTTTATAATTTTGTTAGTTAATATTGCTACTGTTTCTAATTCTTTTGTATGAGAATATTTAGAAATGACTAATAACAACTGTGTTCATGACAGATTTTAAATAAGAATAATATACTTAATAATAATATATGATTGATGACAATAAATTAACAAGAATATAGATTTAAAGTGAATATTGAATATATTTAAGTGATAATAAATTAATATTAAAACTAGATATATGATATAAATTAGAGTAAAAATATAATGACAAGTAACAAGTGACCAATAATATAATGATAATTGAGAATGAACTTAAGACAAAACAAAAGATAAACAAAGAGAAAAATAAGAGAAAAACAATAGAAAAACAATAAAAAAACAAACAAAACAAAAATAAAGCAAATAAAAAAACAAAAAAGAACAAGACAAGACAAAAGTTAAAACTAGGATATAATTTTCTTAGTTAATTCTCATGTTATATATATAGTGAATTTGAGTTATGCTAATCTATATATTATTTACATATATAAATTATAAAGTAAAATTATTAAAAGTATAGATCTATAAAATGTTGAAACACAATAACTATTATATAATATTAAAAAGAGATTTGTGTAAAATTTATATGTCACTAATTAAATTAATATAACAAGAAATTAAAATAAAGTTTCAATAAGATTTAAAATATAAATTAATATGAAATTACTATAAATTAATTGATTAAATAAATGATAATGAAATTTAAATAAAAATGATGTAATAAAAATGAAAAATAATTGGATAATGAAAGATAAAATAATAACAATATATATTAAATATTATTAATAAGTTTTATTATATAAATTAAATAATAAATAAAAATATATAAAAAATTCTGAATTATATTGAAAGAATCTAAAATATATAAAATAAGTAAATAAATAAACAAGCAAATATAAATAAATAAATATTAAATTAATAAAAATTAGTACTCCAAAAAAAAGTCTGGTTTAGTTTGAGTTTGATTTAGTTTGAACTTGAACCAAACTCAAAAATTTGAATCCAATTAAAAATTTGATTTGAATTTGATTTGAATTTCAAATCTGACTCAAATCTGATTAAAAGTTTAAGTAAATATTCAATGAGCTTCTAAATCATAATTAGAACTAAGTATTTCCTATTTTTTTCAAATTTCTGATTGAATACAAGTAAGTTTATCTTTAATTGATTAATTACATACCAGATTTCTAAATTAACAAATAAAAATACATAAATTTTTAATCAATCTGACAAAATAAATTTAATACAAAAAAATTAAAAAGACAAATAATGTGAAAAATATGATAAGCCTGACTAGAAGCACTAATAAGAAAGATAATTTTATATATAATTCTTACTCCAGCTTTAAATCTAACCCTAACAATAAAATTAATCTTTAATATTCTTAACCAATCAGAAATCTGGAAAAAAATTAGTAAATGCATAAAATAGTTGATATTGAGAATGAATATTCAAAAAGCTATTTAAATTTAAAAAATATTTTAATTATTATGATTTTAATTCATTTTAATTATGTTATAGTAAATATTTATTTTTGTATAGTAACTATAAATTATGATTTTAAGCAGAGTTGTAGCAGAAATAAGAGCTACAATTTGGTATAAGATAGTTGCTATTAATAATTAATATTAAAAGAGCTATATAGAATTTATGATAAAATTTAATAATTGTAAAAATGAAAATACTTTAGTTGTCTCTAAGTAAACTTTTAATTCTCACTAAATAGTATAATTTGTACTTATAATTAAAGTTGTAACTCATGTTTAGGGCTACAGATCGATATATGATAGTATATATCGATCTCTAATCGAACTCGAACCAGACTCGAACTCGTATAACGGTTCGGTTCGAGTCCGGTTTGAACTTCGAACCTTTCTTGAACTCAAGGCAAAGTCTGGTTCAAGTTCGGTTCGAATTTCGAACCAGACTCGAACCCAGGCAAAAGTCCGGTTCGGTTCGGTTCATAGGAACACTAGACTACCAAACCGGATACCGTTACTAGGAGCACCTCATCACTCAAACGCATTAGGGAAGAGCCAGAGAAAATCTCCAATAAAAAAGTGAAACAGAATAAAGGAGAATTCCCCGCATTGAAAAAATTTATCAATGAATTATCCAATGTATTTCAAGATCCGTCGCCACCAATATCCACTTTACAACTCGCACCAAATGAAATTAATTTCGTTTATCTGTATAATGAAATCGCTACTGCAGAATCTCGTAATGAGAAGCATTATTGAAACGTCTTACCCACTATAAACAGCATCATCTAAATTGTATGGCTCAAATACAAGTTAATAAAGAAGTACGCAAACAAATTCCGGAGAATATCAGTGACACAGCGCTTAGAAAAAGAACAGAAGTCACCCGAAGATTGATGATGTTATTGCGAAACTTGTGATAAAAACTCTGGCGATAATATATAGCTAAACGCAAAAAGGGAGTAAGTATATGGTATTACATGAAGAGGTTGTGAACTGGGCTCATATGACTTGCCAGCAGGATAACAGAGTAATGATGTATAATATTCTACATCGGCGTGAGGCGGTATATGAGTGCCGAAAAAATGATTATCGCAAATAAAGGCATTCTAATTTCTATTTTATAAAGAAATATAAAGACACATGTGCAAAATAAATGCTAATGCTAACTAATCATCAGATGTAATGTATGAAACACATGAACAAGGTTCGATCTGTATCTCCTTTGGAGCATCGGGGGTCGGTTACTGGTTATTGTTACTAATTTAGAAACACGCTGTTTTCACGTCATATAGGTATTAGTATGCACGTCCTGAATCTGTGCCAGGTTTTGTCGATCATAGACCAGTAGCCAATAATAATGCGCAATTTTTTGATCAGCATCCAATAAGAATACAGAAATTTTTGATCAGACCGGCAAAACAAATCCGACACAAGAAAAGAAAAAATACAAAAAATGCAAAAAATGCAAAAAATATGAGAAACAGGTGTTTAAATCTAGCTTGGAGTACTAACCTGTATCTCAGCTCTAACCCTAATCATAATCCTAAAACTAACCATTAATATTACAGTAAAATTTTCCAAGATTAACAAAACCTGGCACAGATTTAGGATGTTGTTACCATAGTAACATAAATTTCTTTAATTCAATAATCTTTCTTTATACGAAATTCTCTTTTTCTTAATTTTTACCATTTATCACCTGATTATTATTATTTTTTATCCAATCGTATAATTATCTCACTTTTATTTTATTATCCTAAATCTTATATTTATATCCTAAATATCATATTTATTCTCTTTTTCTTATTTTTATATACTTTTATTACCCTAAATCTGAGATTTACAATTTCGATCACAAATGT